CAGTGAACTGCGCTGTAGTCTAAGAGTCTCTTGAGACGTGGATCAACAGGATGATGATAGTGGGATGACACTCATGAGAGCCCAGAGGCTGGTACTTACCTGTTGTGTGACATGTAGGTACCGTGACTGAATCCTGAGTCTCCCCGTCAGTAACAACGTGATACTACCCACTTTGCAGAGTGGCCAGGAGGATAAAGCGACACACGAGGAGTGTGAAGTTAGCCATTAACTCCTCTGTATAATTGTAGATCACTATCTGCCTAATGGGGTTTCCAATGTCAGATGGCTTCTTGGTCATGACACCAATGCTTCAAATGAGACCTGCTGAATAGTGTGTACATGAAGCCGAGTCCACAGTTGAGGCAGTGGTCCATGTCCTACTCAAAATGTGATGCTCCAGACTAGAAGCGGTACATCAGAACCCTTTCAACCAGGCCGGAGATGACGTATCCGTTGCCAGTTACCTGGTTGGAAATTCCCTTTGGAATGCGTCTGTTCTCTAAGCGGATATCCATTGAACGAACACCTGCTAACTGTCAGGCACCAGAAACAAAGCTCGGATTGAGGAGTCTAAGGCTCTGAGATGAACAAAAGAGGCTGTTTCAATACAAAGTTGTGAGTACAATGTTCCCGTGTCTGGGGGGAGGTAGCAGTAGAACAGAGAACACAGAAATTAACCCAATTTGCAGAGGCGGGGGCTGTCAAGAGAGTCCCCAGAGAAGATGACGTCTGGGCGGAGGCTTAAAGGCTAAGCAGGCACTGGGAGTGACAGAATTCTAGGTGGAAGGAACAGCGTTTACAAAGGTACAGTCACGAGGGGTGGCGCGTGCATTTCGGTATTACTGTTTCATGGGAAAGGTGAGGGACGGGGATGGAATATGCCAGAGCAAAAAGAGGCAGAGAGCCCAACACTGGAATGCCACATCAGCCAGGGCTGCAGAAAGACAAAAGCAAGCTTGGCAAGGTGTGTGAAGATCAGAGAGGATACCTCTATGCAAGAGGAAAGACATTCCTATGAGACAGTGTTGGGAAGAATCACGAAGGAAGAAGAGTTGAGCAGAACTGCTGACTGCCTGGATACGGGTGGCAAGAGAAAGAAGAATCGTGGCTGATGTGCACATTCTTACCCTCAGCAGAAGAGAAGCTAAGGAAGAAGGAAAGTTGTGCATTCTATGAGTGGTCAAAAATAAATCTTCTTGTCATGTGGAGTTTGATCTGGACGGGGGGCATCCGCATTGAAGTGTCGGTGCAGAAACTCACACAAGTCGTCTGAGTTGAGGACACTGGTTTTCAGAGTCGACAGCATTATAAAGTGTGACCCAGTGAGGTGATTCTAGGAGACTGGTTAGGTGAGAAGCGCAGCAAGCAGAGATGAGGCCCCTGAGACATACCAACACCCAACAGGAATAGAAAGATGAGGCTGCAAGAACAGTCACCATGAAGTGATAAGAGTGGGGTATCCGCCTCAGTCAGACACCTGCATAAGCAGCTAACTAAATCCCCTCACCAGTTTAAGCGGAAAGGCTTTTATTGAGGGTACTGGACCACTGAGAAGCCACAGACACAGCCAGGAAGAGGTAAGCGACCGCGAGAACACGCGCCTCACTGTTGCCAGAGAACAGCCTGCTGCCACTCTACCCAGCTTAGTGCCTGCGTACAGGCATCACAACCTCTTCCAGAGGCGCCCACAGAAGAAGAAGCACCTCAGCTACCGTGTTAATAGGAGCCTCAGTGTAGGATGGTCTTGTTCCACACCACATAACTGTAGGTTCAACTTCGGCCACCTGAGAGTCAACTGCACCATGAGTAAGATCAAAGAGAGACCTCTGTGTGCAGTCCAAGAAAAAAAAAAAGGGTAGGAATAATCTTTATTACTTGGAAACACATTGTAAAAAAATGTTAGCAGTAGGATGAAGAGACCCAGAACACATTTATTCAAATGAAGTACATACGCTGGGGATCAGAACACCTGCCAAAATAGAACACACCCGTAAACATGCATCCTGGGTGGAGTTTATAGGCAGATGGTCTACTCCCCTGTGCAAGTGTGCAAAGGATTCCCTCCCTCTGAAGAGGCTTTCATTGAACCCAAAAGGCCAGATCATACCAAGAAAAGATATTAGCACATGCCCAAGGGCCTTAAAGGAACCAAATTATAATCACATATATCAAAGTGACACAAAATTAACTGATTGCACAAAAACACAGATGGGAGAGCATCCTGGGACTGCCTATTAAGAGGAAAGGAGGTTTGATGCACTACTTGAAGTGGGGTAAATAAATACTTTGGTACAGGCTTCACCGTAAAAGACAACATATTGCTTTGAGGGTCTACAGAAGGAAGGGCGCCACGTGTGTCTCTCTCTGCAGCACCAGCTTTGGTGCGACTCCAGAAACCCGCCAGGGTCTCCTCTGCGCCCTCCCTTCATCTGACTGCATGCTGCTGTTCAAGGCAGTTAAGTGTAGGGTGGGATTCAGCCTCTCCTTTGACAACAGTTACAACGATGTCTTCTAAATCATTCAAGTTAGCACCAGGCATCACCAAGGCATTGCAAACCATCCTTATACCTGAGAAGTAAATTCTAGTGGAACATGCTATGCAACTGGCCATCGGCACAGAGGCTCAACTCCACACTGGCTAACCCACTTAGAGATGCAGAATTCCAAGCCTCCCTACATTGACGCAATGTCTAATGAGTTTTATAATCTTTATTGAGCTTCTGTTCCAAAAGGGGTACTACAGTTGTTCTTCTGGGGAGATATGTCTGGATGCATGTTCTCAGCCCAAGTGAGGCAGGAAATTTTAATAAATTACAGAATGGAAAGAACTCTGGAGATCACTTAGGCCAGCCTATTATTTTCAAGGAGGAAATGAAACCAAGGAAAGGGAAAAGATTTAGCCAAGGTTACACAGCCATGGAGGCTGGACCCCTGGCCACCTCCATCCCTCCAGCAGTACTCTGTGCCAAGTTATTTCCCCAAGCTTTTGGTTTGCTGGTTGGCTTTATGTGGTCCCACTGGTTAGACAACCAGACTACCAGGTACATAGCATGATGATAGAGACTTTTACTTCAGTTTTAAAATCAGAATATCCAAATGATTCCTGAGCCTTTAGCTACCTTCATTAATGAGAATGCAGTCCACAGTAAATCATGGCTATCTACGGCAGTATTCTCAAATGCTTACATGGACACTAAAAACACTACTTAGAGACACTTGCACAAGCACGTCCATGTGATGCCAGGATGCTTCTCATGGAACGCAATGGCACCGTGGTGGTGACTGGAAGTAAGAGGCTTCAGTCTCTCAAAGTGCGGTCATGAGTTTGTCCCGGTACGTGACACTGTACGTCCCTCCTAAGTTCCTCTGGTTCTGGTCGTGGACATAGTCAAAGTGGCCGTCATCTCCACTGGCTGAGGCTTTCCAGTGTGGCCTGTCATCCTGAAAAGATGGCTTGTTTTGTTTGCAGATGGAATGGTTACTGGGAGAATGGAAGACAATTCAGAAATGAGTGAGGTCAAGCACACACGCACAGAGGAAATGGCGGGGTGGGGGATGATGGTGGGGTGAGCCTAACAGACGAGCAGCCTGGAGACCAGAAGGTTAAAGACTCCCGAGTGATTCTCTACCAACTTTGAAGCTAGTAAAAAGTTGTTTCTGACCAAGTCATGGTTTTGCAAGGGGTCTGGCGGTTAAGTCAGTCCAGGGAAAGCTAGGTGAGGGACGCCTCCTTAAGCCTTGTGGGCATGGTGATGGTTTTAGACGGCACTGCAACAAGCGGGCACCAATCAATTCTCCTCAGGATGCAACTCCAGAGAGCTCTATAACACAGAGTGCTGGTGCCACCTGGGTTTCAGTTACAGGAGGTCTGGCATGGGGCTGAGTTGTAGTTCTCAGGAGACCCTAAATCCTGGCATCAGTATGGCCACCTCGGAGGAAAAGTGCTGCCTCTGGGTGAAGAGTAGGCTACGGCATGCTACAAACGGAAAATACACTGACAAAACAGGCGACACTAGGAATTAAATTTGTTTAAACCGATGTTAACAAGATGATGCCCCTTCTAAGCCTCACCTACTTGTCATGTCTCAAAATTAAACTACCTTTGAGCCATGCAAAGATTTAGAACTATCACCCCACTAACCTAATTTGTCCTCACGTGCTACATGAATATCAACGTGTTACTAATGTAAGGCTGTGGCGCCGTGTTACAGGATCCCCTGGCAAACTTCTACTTAGTCTGCTCAGGGCACATTTGTTTCTGCCACTCCGTTCTCCACGCTCCCTGGAGGAGCAAGGCTCACAGCTCCATCCTGCCACAACCTGAATTCGCCAGCTATGCTTCTGAAGTAACCGGACACACGCATGCCAATAAGACTCATCAAAAATGCAAATCTTAAGGCCAGTCTGCTTCCCAGGGGCGACCCTGACTCCTAAGAGCATGGCAGGTGCCAGGCCACGGACTGTTTTTTGTAAACTGAGTTTCACTGGAATGCAATCATATGCTTTCATGCAAGTCCTCACTGCTACTGTCTTCAGACAACAGCCACAAAGCTGACAATACAGTCTCTACTTTGCTGAAATAGTTTAATAACCCCCAAGTAAGAGGAAAAAAAATGCCCATCACCACCAAAGAAAACACTGCCCTCATTCCTAAGGGGTAAAAATCCTTGGCAGGGGGAAAAAGAACCATAATCTTCAAGCTTTAATCACATTCCAAGAAAATAAATTCTCAGAATAAGAAAATGTTACTTGGAATTCTTAAGCAACATCTCTGATATAAAACCAAACCAAAATATTTGCAGGCTAGAATTAAAAAGAAAAAAAAATCTGTTATTTCACAAAGACTGGTCACTTGCTTCCTTTGCTCTGGAAAAAAAAAAAAAAATCTGTTTCTGCCCTGGTCATGCCACCCTGAGGGGCCGTTCCTGAGGCCTAGCATGGGGCCTTTGAGGGGACAGGAAAACTTCCCAGAGCAGGGCTCTGTAAGCTCACCAACTCACCTGACATTTGGAGAGTGAGGGCGCCACCGGGGCTGGCTGGGGTGGACGTTAGGATGGTACTGAGGCTGGAAAGGAAACACCAAACTTGATTATTCAGTGACCTTTGGATTTCAATGGTCGTCATGCCCTTTGCTTGCTCTTGCAATGGCACCCACCTCAGAAGGTGAGGGGCTGTGAATAGGAAAGCCGTAGCCAAGCCCTAGGGGGAGGGGGCGCTGGACCGTTCCCAGGATCATCTTGTTTCTCCCACTAACAAAGGCTGGGGATGGGGGCCTAGTGTTTGGCTCACCACATCTGACTCAGTCTACCCAGCATGCCCTAGTCAGACAACACTCCTCTCTCAAGGAAGCGAGTGCCAGGAAGATGGGGTGAGTGCCTCCTCTCTTTCGGAGCCACTTTTGTTGTTCTGTAGATGATGACAGGCATGTGTAATAGCAGTGTTTCATTGGTACACAGACCAGGGCTGTTAGGACAGGGTAATGAAAGCAACAGTGTTGTGGTGTATGAACAGTGACATCATCAAGAGAATCTATTATTCTGATGAGACTGGGGAGATTCACTGACTGAAGGAAGAAGGGTGGGAAGCTGTTTGCTAGAAGGTAAGAAAGCAGACCAGTGTGAAGCCTGGACTGGCTTGGAAGGATAGACGGTGTCATTCTGCTTCCAACCTGCAGAGGGCAGCAGCCCTGGACATTGCTAGCAGCCATAGGGCTTCTCAAGGCTAAACTATGGGGTAAAATTGGACCCACTGTCATGAAATAGTGCAATTGCACTACCATTAATCTTTTAATTATTTCTTCCCTTCCTCCTCCTTACCCTTGTTGCTGTGGTTAATAAGCAGTGACCTTCTTTCTGTTACAGAAATTCTCAGCAATTCTGTTCATCCAATTTTCACGGCCCCGAGATGCCCTCACGCTGCCTATTCTGTATTCTAGTAGCCTTTCTCTTCTCCTTCAAAGCATCTGTCAGCAAGCTGAGGCTGCACCCCCAGAGGACATGGTGCAAGGAGTGGGATCTGTAGGGGTATGTCTGCAGGAGGACCTCCACACTGATCTGGTGCAATCTCCCTGTCTTTGTCTCTTTTAGGGGAACACCGAAACCCACGGGGTTTGGGATTAGCCAAAACCAGTCACTCCCAGGCTCCATGCACCGAGTCTCCAACTTTCAGAAATGATGAACCTATAACTGGACCCTCTAATCTTTCTGCTTTTAAACCCGCATTCACCAGAGAGGTACAAACCTCTCCTCCACAGACTTGAAAAAAAAAAAAGAGATTCCAGAACCTACCTTGGCATATCTCCTACTTTAATGTTAACTCGTGTGCTCCATCAACAATGAGGAATATATGTGTATTTCTTTGCTTGTCACAATAACAGTGAAAGGGGGAGCCAAATTTACAGGACTTCCAGGGACAATGAAGAATTGTCCCGCCTCAAATGATAAGTGCCCTCAGTGAGACCATGGCCATCTATCTTCTGCAGCACTAAGAATGAGCTAATCCTGCCACGTCACCCAGTTCCCAGCAACCCTCTGCAGCAATGTGATGTGATCAGGACACCTATCAGGACATTCTCTTCTAGTCCATGCATATCCAAACTCTGATGGGCAACACAGGGACACTATGACTGGCTGAGTACCGGGCTCCTAGCAGCAATATGGAGAGATCCATGCCAAGAGTGCTGGCAGATCTGCTGTAAGCACAATACAAGGGAAGGCAGGAGAGGGCAGGGGTCATGGCCAGTGGGACTGCTCTACTTTATTTTCATTCTCTTTCCTCCAAGTGCTGATCGCCCAATGGCAGTGCCCATCGGTGGCTTTTCTTTTCCTCTACCACATTCTAGTAGCACCAGGTATCCCTGAACAAAAAACAGTCTGTGAATAAGAAGCCCAAGACCCTAAGGAAGAGGAGAGGGGGGAAATTAATATTCCTTCCACCAGGTTCAATGCTAGGAGTGTGAATTCATACACCGTTCTTTAGAAACAATCTGTGAACCTCCTACGGATAACAATGGGCATCTTGGTTATCTACAGAAATGATGCCTCCAGCAATGAAAGACCAGGGAAGAGGACAGTTAGAGTAAAGTTCCGAGTTGAAATTGTTTATGGGACAGCATTTTTACTTGTTACATTGTTACATTCACAGCCAAATACCATGGCACAGACACCTCGAAGGCGAGCTTGCTGCAGACACTTGCCCAGGACAAGGTTTCACCTTATAGGTTGGTCCACAATGTGATGCCAAGGAAGGTGATTAGGCCTTCTGGGGTCTTTGGAGGGACCCCAGTTTTGCTCTTCTGAGAAGAGCAGTACAGGTCCCCCCTCTACCTAACATGTAATCTCCTCCTCCACACACACTCCTGCTCTTTCCCCACAAACCCCTCAACAGAGCTGAGTGGAGGCCAGAACTACTTTTGAACCTCCAGGGCCATGAATTAAGTGAACTTCTTTTACTTCATAAAGTACACAGTATGGCATATTTTGTCATAGCAACAGAAAAAAAAAAGACTATTATAGGGCTCCAAGTTAAAAGTCATCAAACACGGACCTCTGCCTTTAAGCAAAAACAACCACTTGGGAGGCAAAGGCACATACCATCCACCAGAGCCACCTCAGGATCTCTGAAGTCTATTGATGCCAAGCTCTTACTCCTTAGGTTTCTGTTCAGCCTTTAAACCATGGGGCTGAAGCGCTGGTTATTCTTTTATTGCTGGCCACATGGTTTTAAGGGTTAAATCCTATTGGAGCTGGGAGCTTCCAACTTAAAAGAAAAGGAAGAAGGGATGGGAATGTGAAAGATACTGTAGCAAGCAGATAAGAGGCAAAGAACTCCAGGTGGGTGAGCATGGGCAAGGCAGCACAAGCAAGAGCCTAAATGCAACTACTCTGCAGCTGGTGGGAGCTGAACGCAGGCTTGTGACAGGAACAGTGGTGTAAGGAACCTGGGCAGGCTATGGAAACCCAAAGAGGTCGACCCACAGTGGCTTGCTCCAGGCTGGGCTACCAAGGGCTTTGGCAGCGATGGGTAGGCAGGTAGGAGGCATTGGCGCTGGATTGTGTTACTGTATAAGAATACAACAGTGGGCATGGAAACTGATGGGCCTGATGGTTAACAAAATGAGTTCTAGAGATGTTAATGCTTCCATTGGTGAGTGGGTTTACCATGAAAAGAGGTGGGGAAAAAGGACCAACAGAAACAAAACAAACAAACAAACAATAAAAAAACACCTTCTTGCCATGGTGTTCATGCCTTTCATCTCAGCACTTGAGAGGCAGAGGCAGGTGGATCTCCATGAGTTAAAGACTAGAACTCAGTAGTCTAGATAGCAAGTTCTAGACAGTCTAAAACAAACAAACAAACAAACAAACAAACAAATAAGCAGACAAAAATAGTCTTTCTCTAAGTTTCCTCAGTACTTCCGAACCCCAGCAGGCACAGTCAAGCCCAAGAAGGCAAACGGAGGAAGACGCAGAATCTCCCAAATACTTGACCAGAACCTCCCCTCCTGGACACCTGTGTCGAGGTCCCCTTCCTGGACGCCTGTCTTGAGACCTCCCTCCTGGACACCTGTCTCGAGGGCTTGTGCTGGGCAGGCCCACAGCATACTTTCACAAAAGCATGCACTTGAATGTTGCTAAGAGGCTGTGCTTGACCAACCAGAAACATAACTACCTGCCCCTGGCACCCGCAGGCTAACAAGGTTAAAAACAGGCACTTCAGAGAACCAAGAGGGAGCAGGGGTCAGGAGGGAAGGACCTGTCTTTTAGAGTTTTCTGGAAAACAACAGGAAGAATGAACCAAAACCTAGCAAGCACATGTTGTTCCCACATATTGCTCATCTCACAAAATTCAGAAAAGTTAAGAAACATCTCAAACACAGCATCTCACCTGGTAATTATGGACTTCGGGGTTTGCTTTAGAGCTAAAAAGAAAAAAGAAAAACATCATTTTAAAAGTTGTAAGGAGGCAGTATGATGAATTGATTTAACAGCTGTAACTAATCTACAGATTCCCTATTCAATTAGGGATGTCTGTGTGCCTTTTTTTTTTTTTTTTTTTTGGTTACTAGAGATTACATGAACATACGTACGAGTGTATAATCAAGGAAACCACAAACACCAGCTTTCACTCGCCACTTCAAGGCTCAGCAGCCTGAACACCCCGGTAACATGCAGAAGTGCAGCTGTGGCATGTCTGGGTTCCTTTTCAGCAGTGCAAACCAAGGAGCTTCAGCTCCCATTGTAGGCCCCCTCCCCCCAGGGGCGACAGCTCTAGTGCCGGCAAAGCGCTTCTTCCAGCTGGAGGGAGAGGGCCCAGCTTCTTTGAGTCGCCCATCATGGTGGTGGTAAGAATCACACATGTGTCCCTCACATGTAACGGCCTGCTGCTCCTCTGGGCATGGCGCTGAATGTTTGATCATTCAAGTCAAGCCTCTGCCCTGTTTTTATTTCATCTACATGTGATGAAGTCCTACCACCTCAATTCACAGACAAAGGAACACCTGCCTCAGAGAGAATCAGGAAATTTAACAAGTATCACTGGCCGAGCCAGGGTTAGTTCAACATCTACTCAGACTCAAAGCCTCTTTTCTTCCCAATAAATTCATAAGCAAGAAAGAGTGCAGCTTAAAAATCCCCAGGGAAGAAAAAGCAGTCTGAGGGTCTGTGGAAAAGTTCAGAGCTCAAGTGTTATCTAATCTGATGAGAATCTTAATTAGAACTAGCCTGGCAAATATATAAACAGATGCCTATATAATATGTATGTGGAATACATGCATGTGTTATGTATGTATACATAAACAGGGAGAGAGAAAGAGGCACACAGACAAAGAGAAATAGAGCGAGAACTGTGCTGCATAAGATGCAAACTCAGTCCCTATGAGCAACCTTACAACCCAGAACAATCACCAAGCAGTCGCGGTTGCTAGGGTGGTGTGCCTGGAATCAAGGTTTATCGCCCGTCGAACAATGGAAGGGAGGGCGGGAAGGAGGCACCTTTGTTCTGAGTCTTACACCAGGTCTGCATTTAGCTTTCAGAGAGGCCTGGTGGTGAAGGCAGGCCCTGACCCAGAGTGCCTGGAACTCAGCAGGTGAGTAAAGGGCTCTGCAAGCTGCTGTTTTTCCAGCAGTACCACTGCAGCTCCCAGACAACTTCATCCACGGTTCTACAGCAATTCTACTCACCAGAACCCCCCAGGCTGCAAAGAGCGGTGGAGCGGCTGTGAACAGCAGTTATTAGCTCATTTGTTTCTAAAGGGTATATTTACTGACACTTTTGTGTGTGTGGCGATTTTTTTTTTTAATGTTTGTTTTCATTCCCCAATATGTAATCTCCCTTAGATTCTAAGAGGGAAATGTCACTTTATCAGGGAAATACAAACAAACAATCATCTCCTAAGAAAGCAAGAAATACTGTAGCTTACAATCCCCTGAGAATTAAAAACAGAATCTGAGAGGCTAAAAAAGGTCAGTAGTTCTCAGCATACTACCTGCAGAGATCCTAACTGCCAGAGACTCCGGAGACTTTGCAGGCCCACAACTACCCATCCTGAGAATACTGCACCCCAATCCCCCCACCACAGGGGGCGATAGGCAGCATTTCTAGAGGACTCCCCCACCCCTTCATTAGATGCAGAAGGCAGACAGAGAGCATGACCAGGCTAGCATGTCACTGCAAACACGCCCTGGAACCTGAGGCTACACTACCTTGTTCTCCAGAACCTGAGGATCCTTGAAGGGATCTCAGAGCTTTCTGAAGTGGGGAGGAAGCTAATGAACAAGCAGGCCTTAGTCCTTCCCTCTCCACAGGCAGCTCTCTGATTCTGTCTGTTTTGTTCGATTTTGCATCAGGCTTCTTGGGGATGGTAGTGGGATTGTAAAAATCACAAGCTAAAAAAGATGAGAACACTGACCTAGTCCAAGGTCTTTGCCTGCAAGTGAGAAAAGGAAGCATAGCAAGCAGAAGGCCAGAGGCCCCAGGATGCATTTTAAAAAGCTGTTATGGAGAGAGCTCCTGAGGCCTCAGCTGGGGCTGTGGATGCTAGCTAGGGCAGCGGCAGCCTCCAATCTCATGCCCTGTATGCCAGGATGAGGGTACATAGCACAGGCCATCTCAGCAAAGGCCACCACCACCTTTGCCCATCAGCCTGCAATTCAGAACCAAGGGTCTACCAACTCCCCCCTCACATGACAGCTGCCTCCTGCAAGTCAAGCTTACACAGGAAGAACAGTGGTTTCAGATATGGGGTGGGGGGGAGAAGGTAGGTAGGGCAGTGGCTCTCACCTAGAGGCACACTAGCCTTCCCAGGGGAGCTTCAAAGGACAGATGCCCAAGCCCTCACGTGTACATATGTTCTCATATCGCCCAGGGGACATTGTCAGGTAAGTCCAGACACAGGCAGGATCAGGGACACCTTTCTAGGGATGAGGCAGCTAATTCCACCCATGGGCCAAATATGGCTGACTGGTACTTATGAATAAAGTTTTATTAAGTCACAGCCATGCTCATTTGTTTGCATATTGTCTACAGCTGCTTCAGTGCTACTCAGTGCTGTAGAGGAACGGAATAGTTCTGAAAGAGATGTCACAGCCTAGAATTTAAAATATTTCCTATCTGTCCCCTGAAGAGAAGCTTGCAAAGTCCTACACTAGAGATTTTCCGTCTTATGACACATTATTTTCCTGTAGAAACTCTGGAGGTGGCTTATTTATTGCTTTTATTATGGTTTTATGTCTGTGTGTATGATGTGTGTGTGTGTGTGCCAGGGTGCTCATGTGGAGGGTTAGGTCAGGTCAGAGGATAGCCCTCTGGAATCCATTTCTCTCTTTCCACCTTTACATGGATTTCCACCTTTCAGAGATTTAGCGTAAGTCTCAAGGCTAGCACAGTAAGTAGCTTTACCCACTAAGCCATCTCACCGACGGATGTTAATGTCCCCTAACACCTGCATGTCACTGGGCAAAGTGGCGCCTGTTCCCATGGGACCTTTGCTCAGGATCATGGCCTTCAGACTCCACCCTTGCCTGCCACATGGCTACTACACGTGCTGTGTGCATGCCTGCTGCCTTGCCACAGTGACAACAAACAAAGCGCTATGCTATTCAAATAAAGCAGCTGTTTTGCAACAAGAAAGTCTTGGAACATTCTGTTGTGTGCTTATTGAAAGCTGGGAGGATGGTATAGCCAGGCAGCAGAAAAAGGGGGAAAAAAAAGTTATCAGGTGAGTCACTTGGATTTAATTGTATTAAGGAAGAAGTCAGCATTGCAAACAAACATGAAATTAGAGGGGAGAGCTGTGCTGGGGAGTCTGGGTGTACTTACCAGAGCTGAGCAGCAATCACTGGGTTGCTTGCTGTAAAGGAAGGATGAAAAGTTATGCAGAACTTGAAACACTCACCATGTAAACAACACACAGACTGAGGGACAGAGCCCCCTCTGTCAAAGCACAGGCCTCATCTCAAGCCAGGCAGCCCTGACCTCTAGCAGCTTCTTCCCTGGGAACTGGACAGCCCTCCTTCTGATTCTGCATGCACACAGAATCCTAGAAAACTTCAGGCAACTCTCAGAGCAGGCTCTGAGGGCTGGGTGCACTGGTATGCAGACACACTAGGAGGCAAACACAGGACAGTCCTTGCACCCGAGAAGAATGTCATCCTTAATTGAGACAGGAAAGTAGTATAACATGATGAAGGATTAAATACCAGCAGGCATCTGTGGAAGAACTTACAGCTGGCATTTTTGATGGGGCAGAGACAGCGCTTGCATGAAAGGGGCTCCCTATACTTCAATTTACGTTTTTTTCTCTCTGTGTGATTCTGGGAATTGAACCCACAGCCTTGCTACCACTGACCTATATTCCCAACTCCTCCCTTCCCCACCCAATACAAACTTTTCTTTTGATGGGAGCAGAGTTTTATGTTACTCAGGCTGGCCTCAAATACTCTGTAGTTGAGGCTGACCTTGAACTTCTGATTCACCTGACTCTACCTCCCAAGTGTTGAAACTATAGGTTTATACAAAACTGGCGGATGGAATCCAGGGTTTCATTTGAGCTGGGTAAGCTCCCTATCAACCAAGCTATACAACAGCTCGCCTCATTTCCTTCCAAGAGGCATGCATGCCAGGGCAGATCATTCAAAGTTTCACCAAAAGATGCTAGGCCTCTACCTAGAAACTTTGTCCATAAAATAAATGGAGGAAAGAACTCCAGAGGCCACAAAGGAGGGTGAGAAGGGGTCTCGGAGCCAGAGGTCTAAAACAGCCCCACGCTATCCAGTGGGGTCCTACCATGTGCTCCACTTCTAGGTCAGCTACACTAGACACTTCATCCTGGGTACTAACACACACTTGTGGGTGCTGGGTGCTTGCAACTATAGCAAAACAGTGCGTTTTCTTTAGAGAGCTGTTCCAGGAGTGGTCTGTTTCTGGGCACCTGTGACTTGATGGACAGGCCATGGCCCTGCAGAAGTTCTCAGCCATTGCTGCCACCTTAGACACTGCCCGGATGCTGTCTAGAGTCAGCCTTCATCACCTTCCTGTGAACACGTTCTCATTCCCTGGCCTTTCTCAAAGTTAAGGCCACATTTTCTGGGTTCTAGACTTTTTTCTCCCCCCTACACTGGCTGAGAATGACTTAAGACCTGCTGCCTGTCATGCTACTAGGCTCACAACAAAAGGGAACGGGTGGAAGAAGACAGAGGCTGGTGATTCTAGGAGACACAGGTATATAAGCAGGGTTCCACCGAGGCCTATAAAATCCCACGCTGTGCAAGGAAAATGTACAGAACAGCCCGGCCAAGTAAAGAAGGGTGGCAGAGGCTGTCTGTGATGATCGTGTTGTAAAAAAAGGACAAATGATTTAGTGGTAATTGGAGTGCGCCGGATGGAGAAGCAATCCGCGTAGAGCAATGAGCTATGCAGAGCTGCAAGATACGGACTGTGAAACCCAGTTTAAATAGAACTGGGTCAGCAGTGCTCACCTGCTGCCTGACACAGCCTAGTATTGGGCCCCACATGGGTGGGAGCCACCTCAGTAAGGGACGTAAGGGTCAGGGAATGCTGAGACGGGCAGCCCAAGGGACAGCTATGTGCAGGGAGGGGTATGTCTGCGCCGACTATGGGGGACCTGCACTGTGTCCCTGCAGGTTCTGCATCCATTCTTCTGTGGTTACAATTCTGGTTAGCATGTGCCCAGTGTCCCCAACAGGACAGCAAGGCAGTGGAGACAATGGACACAGTACCTTCCAGGAGGAAGGCGAACTGTTGAGGATCCAGCATAAAATAAGTAGAGAGGCACATTGGAAGGGAGACAGACGAGAGAAGGCAAAGGAAAACTCTAAAGTAGAGAAAGATGAAAGGCTGGGGGGCCCATGTTCCACCAGGACTCATGACATTCTTTTTCAATGGCTTTCGAACACCAGAGGGTAATGGGAGGAAGTTCCTCCCCTAGCTAACCGACCCACCAAGCCCTGCCGCAAAATGTCAGCGAGGAAGGAACACCATACAACCTTTGAACGTGGAGTGCCTCCGGGATGGGTAACGTTTGCTAGGCTTCCTCTCAAAGGTGCTGGTTCTGCGCAGTCTGGAGCTGTGTGTTGCTTGATATTCTGTCCTCCCGCTGGGAAGGAAATATTTGATTGTACATTAACGCCAATAACGGCTCTTAGCATACCATAGCTATTGCAAATGACTTTTTTTTTTTTTCAAGAGCTCCAGCATGCATTTCAACTTAGCATGAACTCGCCTGGTAAAGACATGCTAAGTTTAAAACTTCTATTTGGAAATACAGTCTCCTTTGCCAAGCGAGGCACACGGGCAAGAATCTCTTTCTACCAAAGGGTAAAACCTGCAATTTAAATACCAGCCATTTAGTTGCTCAAACCAAGTAGGTCTGAGTACTTGGATCATTTGATGAAGAAAACATTGATTAGATATGAAATAACCTTTCAAGGAGCACCGTAGAGAGATTTAGCATTTAACACCTTCTCCTAAGCTGTTGTAGCAAAGCCCCTAAACTAAACCTTGGCTTCACTTGCTATGTGCGAGAGGAAATGTTTCTAACTTCATAAAGGCTTTCCAGATTCGACCACTGTGAAGGCAGCTGCAGCTTCCAAGAGGGGAGCTGTGTTTTGCTGATCCACCCATCACTGCTCCAATCCAGTTGCTTTCGGCTGTGGTTTTTCAGACAGAAGGAGCCAAATGCTACCTGCTCCAGATGCCTCCAAGGGGCAACCTCACCTCCAAGCTTCCCTTCCTTTCATGTCTCCTTGAGAAACAAAGGTCACTAGACCTGAACCAACTGGAACATTTCTCCCCAGTAGGGAAAGGCCTGCTTACTTTGGCAGTCTCCTCCACTGCCCTCCCCACCCAACTCCAAATCCTCATGGACATGGGCAGACTGCAGCGGCTCTTCGAACCTCTGCCAGGCTGACATTTCCATCCTCCAGGGGCCTTGTGACAGGATTCTTTTTCCTCAAGGACTTGGTCTTCTTTTCCCCTTCCTTGGAACATTTAAAAAATATATTCAAACAAAAACCATTCTTTAAACTGAAAAGCACAGCCATTTCCTTGCACAGTGGGTAAATCTGAAGCGAGCAACACTTCTGGCATTTTAAACAGAGTTCAGGGACATGCCATGTGTGGGCTGAGGTTACGAAACCAAGTGAAGTTTTCTGTCATGTAACTGAGATTCACAGACTCACGAGCATATTTAAAATGTACATTCCAGGCTGGAGAGGTGGCTCAGTGGTCGGAACACTGGCTGCCCTTCCAGAGGGCCCCGGATGCATTCCCAGCATTCACATAGCAGCTCACAATCACCTAAGTCTAATTTTAGGAAATCTGACAAGTGTTCTCTGGCCTCTTCAGACACCAGGCACACATACGGTGCACAAACATACATGTAGACAGAACACCCATACACAAAAATAATCAAAATTTTAAAAAATGAAAATGCATAGTTTAAGGACTGACAGGCACATGTGCACATTCACAGCCTCTGATTGCAGAGGATGGATATTTTCAATTTTTACAGACGCCCCTGAAGGCCAAAATATGTGAAAATATGCTTCAGGCTGTTTTCAGATTCAAAAACACATACACAGACAGACAGGCAGACAGACAAGACACACACACTCACTCACAGCTCTCATCCTTAATTATTACCAAATTTCTTGACTCTGGCATGTAAAGGCAAACAGGAATGGTGAGAACTTGAAGAGCCAGGGCTGGGGAGATGGTTTATCTAGTATAGTACTGACGCAGCATGAAGTGTAAGTTCGGGCCCCCAGCCCCCAAGTCAACAGCAAGGTGCTTTTCTACGATCTGTCATCTTAGCACTGGGGAGGTAGAGCTTTAAAGGTTACCAGCCTGGCTCAATTGGTGAGCTCCAGAATCAGTATGAGACCCTAGCTCAAAAACTAAAGTGGAGAGCAACGGAGAAAGACACTTACGTGGCTCCCAGGCCTCTACGAGAACATGCGCAGGGGGCATGCATGTATATACCCACTGGAAGATACGAAAACGAAACCACACATACCTATGTATACAAAGAAATAGCACCACCAAGGCCAGGTGTGTGGGGGCGCACTTACAATCCACTTGGAAGGCAGAGACAGGAGGATCATAAGTATTCTAGACCAGCCTAGGAGAAAAAGTATACAAGAAGTATAAAAGAGAGGGGAAATCACAAAAGAGAAACCAGGCTGGTGAGTGCTCTACCACTGCTCTACCACTTACTGGCTGGTGAGAGTTTGAGTCTAGTGTGGTTTGTAAAATGGGGATGCCTCTAGGATTAAGAGTGTTCTAGTGCAGCACAGTCCAGCAGAACCTCCCACAGTGACACTCTGTACTGTGTCTGCCCTAATCACAGGCAGTCGCTACCTCAGGTGGCCACTAAGCACTAGAAATGTGGCTTTTGAGACCAAGGACCATAGTTTTCAATGCATTAAACAGTCACTCTTTTCAGTAACTTCACGTAACTAGTGGCCACTGCCCTGACAGCACAGCTGCAGCCGTAGGTCAGGTCCTGACAATTTTGTTATTACATGTTGAACACACTTTACCCATAAATCTAAAACGTTAAGGGAGCCCGACTCAAATATTTGCAATATCGAATATCAAATACACAAAAAGTGCCATTTATGTCATTGGTGACATTGTTCCAAACGGAGGAAACTGTCAACATCTCAAACACTCCTAACAGCAAGCACTTCAAACACAGGGGCTTCATTCACCACCACCCCCCCCAAGTCAGTTCCATTTTATCAGTAAAGTGATGAAAACCCAAAGAGGCTGTGAGGGGACTAGAGGGCAGACCGTAACTGGAAAAGTTGGGGTGGCGCAAACAACCCAAACGGGTGGAGGCAAATACGATGCTACCCTCAGGCACAGAAGAAGGGGCTGTCATAAAACAACTGCCCACCTGAACCGGAATCGGGAACCCAGCCGGATGAAGTCGGACCTGGTGGACCTGCTGTTGCTGGGTGTGCGCAGGCGGAAGAAGGCGTGATGCTCCACAGCGCACTTCCACAAGTGCTTGCAGGTGCGTGCACTGTCTAGCCTGAACACGAAGGTGTGCTCCTGCTCGCGCCCCTGAGGGAGGAAGCAAAGGTCCTCCTGGGGGCGGGCACATCACCGGGGTGCAGGTGATGGCTACAAGGAGGGCACTGGGGAGCGAGGCCTACCTGGTCATCGTCCTCCACCACGACCAGGGTCAGCTTGCTCTTCTTGAAGTCCATTTTGGTGATCTTCGGCCTGGTCAGAGAGGAGGCATTTTAAAAAGGGCAGTCCACGGCCAGACTGTCCACATCACACAGTGTCCTCTCTACTTATAAAAGCTTAGACTGGCTAAGAAAAGAAAATCATCATCCATTCATGTAAATGTGATCATCCAGAAGGGCAGTGCATTGGCCAGACACCCACAGGGACAATAGGATGGTGTGATTGGTTTTTTTTTAATAAATCTGGGTGTCGCAAAAACCCCTCAAAATCATCCATCACATAGACTTTCCAACACAACATAGGAAAAGACATTTTTAATATTAGACAAAACTAAATTACCAAAAGAATAAGCCTATTTTGTTAGCTCCTTCAAAGATTAATATGCCTGTCGGGGTCAGTCCAAGAGAATATTCACAGCCATCTCTTCCCTACAAACAAACGAAGTGACAGTCGGTAGAGGGTTCTAACAGGTCGTCACAGAGAAGAACGTAAAAACAATTTCCTCACCAAATTTTACTTTGTTGGCACGCTATGCATCTTTCAGAAACAGCAAAATAAAATGACGCAGACACACAGGGGAGTTCTTACCCTGACAACGTGCATGTCCACCCCATACATTTCCAGCCACTTCGCTTTGTTCAGATAGGAGAGTTCCGCCTGGGCAGGGCTCTTTCCCCTTAGAAAAACCAATGGAGACACATGTAAACTGGGACTCACACACCTGCAGGTGTGAAGGGCCCGCTGTGCTGTACAGGCTCACGCAATAGTTACAGCAATGGAGGGTGCACGTTTGTAAGGATGGAAAACAATCGCCAAGAACCCTCGGTTAACAGAATAGCTGGTGATATTTAGGATAACCTAAGAAAACAAGAGTATGGTCTAAGGCAAAGCACAAGACTGTTCCTCCTGGCCTCCTCTGGGAGAAAGGAAGCCTCATGTGAGGGAGCGGGTGGGATGCCCTGAATGTACGCCAGCACATTTCCCCGTGTTTGGATGAAAACACATTCATATCATCACAGGACTGAGGGACAAGAAAAGGTCACCCTAAGTTCCAGGTCTGAGAGTAACTAGGAATGTGTGTGTGTGTGTGTGTGTGTGTGTGTGTGTGTGTGTGCGTGCGTGCGCGCGTGTGAAAGAAAAGAGAGAGAATATCCTTGGGAAACTATCCAGGCAAAACAAAAACAAATCCGTTAGATTAGGGGGGTGGCGGCAGGGAGACATGGATGGCAGATACGGCTCACTGGCTTTCTGTGTAATAAGAATAGTTCTGGACATACCATATTGTATGTCACATGGTCTCAATGGTGAATGTCCTTTCACCATAGGGTGTGGGATCAAAAGAGTCTGTGGCCCTTTTTTTTTCTTTTTCAGATTTTCAAATACTAGTGTGAAGACCAACTCTAAACATGAAAGTCATTATGTTACATTTACCTGATACATAAAATTGGGAGGTCCTGGGGGTGATTTCATACATGTTTAAAAATTGATACTATGATTAGTATCAACGCCTTCCCCATAAAGCCAGGTATAGACTTTTCAAATGTATCATCAGGTTGGTGTTCAAAAATTTCACATTTTAGATTCAGGATTTGGGAGTTCGGGTGCTTCACTTGTGTTTCTAAAAAGTCTGCTCTAGAACAGGGTTCTCAACCTCTGGGTTGTGACCCCTCTGGGGGTTGAACAACCCATTCACAGGGGTCATCTAACACCAACAGAAAACACAGCCATTTACATTATGATTCATTAAAGTAGTAAAAATTACACTTATAAAGTAGCAACAAAAATAATTTTATGGTTTGGGGTCACCATGACCTGAGGAACTGTGTTAAAGGTCACAGCATTAGGAAGGCCGAGTAGGAGGTTCTGCTCAGGAAGGACAGGACCTTATCAGTACGTCGTCTCCTCACTATCCACACCTGGAGTGTCACTAGCAAGGAACAATCAAATCAGACAGCAGCTGTGTGTTTCAGCGACAAAAAAAAACAGCCTGGCTTGACCTCTGCACATTTCTCAGAAGAGTGGTGACACTCAGGTCTGGAGTTGTGGCTTTCCGGTCATGAAAGGGGCACACTGCACTGCGGAAGGTCATGCAATAGTTTGTCAGAAGGCTCTGACGAACACATAGGGCAAAATAAATGAGCAGTGCAGACCACGAGAGGGGTGCACTGAGGTACCTGTACTCTTTCCATCTCTGGAAGATATCGAATTCCATGGCTTCTGTCTGATTTGGGATGAACCGAAACTCAGACACAAGCTCTGGCGTGTGTTCCGGGAGCTCACACTCCCCCAGCTCCGCTGTGCCATTCGTGAAAGGGAGGAAAACAGGAGACAATGAACACTTTGGGTTATTGCTGCAACGAGTCCAAAGACAGGTCAGAAAGCACAGAGGCCCCTGAGGTAGAGCCCTCTCATTATGAGGTTCCCTCAGAGACCCTGGCAGTCATTATAACACCCTCCCGACAGAGAAGTACAACATCATCTCAGTCACTTCTGTCTTTCTCCTCACTGCTTCTCCCACCTAGGGAGGCCTGGCTCACATTTCTTCAGGAAGTGGAAATTTTGCAATAAAAGCCAATGGCAGGCACTGAGGATCTTCCTGGGAGCATCTTTTGCACAGGGCTCTTGTTAAGCACAGGTCAGAGCAGCACTTTAGTGTCTGCAGGGCTAGAGTGGATCAAGAATGTGGTGCATGCAGAATCCGAGTGAGGAATAAAGGAGCAGTGAGGGGGGTGTGCAGGCCGCAGGAGCAACTGTGGCAAGTCAAGCAGAACGGAGATGGGAGAAGGGAGGGGGCTGCACAAAAGAGGGAGAGCAACAGGAAACTGCCCAGCAAAATGCCCAATGTGCACTGCACGGTCCTTGCTCTTGCCAAGCTGCAAAACAGAGGGCCCAAGGACACGGCGGCCCTCTCCCTCTGGAGCGTGAATGAGAATCACCCCACCCCTTCAAACCTCAGAATGGAAGGGAATCCCCCAGTTTCCTCTATAACCTGATTACAGTGAGTGTGGGCATCAGGCTAGCAAGTGAAGGTGCCACGTAGGGGCTTGACCACCATGCTGACTTGCATACCCACCCAGGACCAGCCCAGTCACTGCCAGCCATTTCTCAAGACCCAAGGATTGGTGCACTTTTCTCGGAAAGGTACTGATCCACAACATTTGTTTTTGAACTTGAAATGCTAAAGAATCATTTGGTAGGCTCATTAAAACATAATGAGCTGAGCTCCAGACCCAGAGTTCTTGATCTTGATATGGGCCCAGGGCCAGAACTGAATGTAACTGTGAATGACCTTCAACTTCTGATCCTCCTATCTTTGCCTCCTGAGTGCGCCACTATGTCTGATTTTATGTGGTACTGGGGACGAAACTCAGGCCTTCATACACACTAGGCAAGCACTCTACCAACTGGGGCAACATCCTCAGACCATCAATTTTGCACTTCTAACAAATCCCCATGTGAGGCTGACACAGCCTGGGAATGGGAGAAAACCTGGAACCTGATGTCTCAGACACTACATTTGCCAGTGGACGAAGCCACACATGCCCAGGAACCTGCAGGGACAGCAGAAGCTCACTACAGATCCACTACCTTCTTGTCCCTCCACTGAGCCATGCATGGCCAGCATGTGGCTTCTGAGGAACAAGGTCTCGCGGCCTAACTTCCAGGAGAGGGACTCCATCCAACTTGCAGAATGGATAAAATGTCTGCGTGACCAAGTGTGGTGTCACATGCTGAAATCCCAGCAATGAAATAGGCTCCCATGGTTGAGATCTAGGCAAGACAAAGTGAGACCCAGTCTCAAAGCACTAAACAAAGCACTTCGTATTCATGCACAGGAATCATTAAAACCAAATTCAAGGAGACTATGCCTTCACAAGGTAATGCCTGGCAGAGAGAGGTGCTCTGGCAAACACCTCCCCACTTGAATGCCACCCTTCACATCTCGCAGGCCAAGATGTAGAGGAGTCTGGGTCAGGGCCTGTAGCAGCCTTTTACCCTAGGCAAGGGGACACACATGAAATTCTGTTCTAGAAACAATGTATAGCCAGAAAGGGTGTGGGACTGGGGTCCCCAAGCTAGAGGCCACCAATGACCTCAGTCCAAGAGGTCACTGTGGAGTGAGGTCCTGGCAAGCCATGAGCCTTATACAGTCTGGAAAGAGATTCCTGTGGCATCCCATGTACCCATAGACAAACATGATGCAATAGGACCCTGTGTTTAGTGGCGTCCTAAGTTGGACTAAGCATGCCAAAGACGCCAGTGAGAAAGAGGGCAGTATCCCTTTCAGCCTTTGCCGTACTAAAGCAGGCTTGAGTAGCACCTTGGTCACCCCTCTGCCTTCCAAGAACATGCTGAAAGAACTTGGCACTCCAAGAATCTCCCAATTCTGCAGCCAGGCTCTGGCTCCATAGAGGCCATGGAAGGCAAAGGAAATGGATGTAGGAGAGACTGAGCCCAGCTCCACCACAGCCATCTGTGTACCCCCAGGCAAACCACTGAGCTCTTCCAGGTCTGTGATCTCTTCAGAGACATGGGAGCTGTTACATGAGCAAGACCAGAACACTGCCATGTAATAGATGATCTCACACTGCTCTTTCCTTTTTCCTTTACCCTTTCACTTGGATTAATTTTCAAATCTACCACAAACTTATTCCCCAAAGAGCATATCATCCATGGAAGGCTACAGTATCTCAACTCAGGGGCACCTGTATCTATATTGCAACCCAGTATCTCCTCAACTCATTAATTCAAGGACAGCACTAAGATATGCCTTAAAGGCTCAACCACCAGAGGAAACTCAGCCCGTCATTTTATTCACACCGACAGAGAGGGGCTCCTGGCTGGGCTACAGAGAAAAGCAGGCGAAAGCATGGGTGGAATGACAACATGATAAGGGCTTCCCCATGTGTGCCCCTCAGTCTTCCAAGTAGTTTTTACACCCGGCATACTGGTTGTGCCTTAAGTTATACTACAGAGATGGCTTGCTTCTCCAAGAAGGGCTCACAGGTGGCTGATTTTACTTTTATCTATGCTGCTTTGACAGCCTCGCTACAGATGGATCAGTGAGGGCAGAGATGTGCCTCCTTCTCAAATCACTCAGGACAACAGGACAAGCTTGAAACACTGTGCCAATAGCCTCAGGAGGAAACCACTGCAGTGATTAATGGCCCCAGGCCTGACACCATGCTTGGGTGCTTTCCTTTCATTAACACCACCCTGACAGATCTTTTGGGGCTGCCAAATCTGACTTGGCCTCTCGCAGCTCAGGAAGCAGTGCAGATGAAGGCTACTGTCTATGCTGGTAAAATTTGCATCTGACCAACACAAGAAGCCAGGAAAGGGCTGCTACATTGTCCCCAACTCCATTTCCACCATGGCACTCACCAAGAGGCCTGCTGCATGAGACTACACACAGAGAGAGGAAGCGTGTAGCTCTGTATGTGACGCGGCTGGCGTTAGAAAGCATTGCTGTTACCATCACCACCAAGTGCTTTTGAGCTACCCTGAGGGTCTCTCCAAGCTCATCCCTCTATTCATTCGGCACTTACTGAGCATCTGTTAAGAGCTGACTAAGGACTAGAAGTATTCAGGGATGAAAAAAGACCCATTATCAACAAAGCACCTTTACTTGTGTAAACATGACAATATACAGTTTCTAAAAATAGTAAGTAGGGCCTAGGAGATGCCTCAGCAGGCACTTGTCACCAAGCCTGAAGTTTAAGTTTGAGCCCCATGACCCACACGGTGGAAGAAGAGAACTGAGTCCTGTAAGTCGTCCTCTGACTTCTTCACTCACACAATCACACTAAATTAAGATGTAATAAATGACAAATACACAAAAAATTCTGTATTATTCTAGTCTGATTTACATTTCCTTTAAAAAAAATCTAAATTCATTAACAGAAGCTGTAGGTGCCGATGGGTGGCAGGCTGGCATGTCATGTCCTTTCTTTGACCTGCCTGACTGCTGTGCTGTCCCACCCTGAATCTGTAACCAGTGCAACCTGACCCTGTTGTACTTCTCAGAACTTACTATTTTCTTAAACTAGTAAAATAGGAGCTGGTGAGATGACTCGGCAGACCGAGGCACTTGCCACTAAGCCTGACAAGTGGCGAGATGTCCAGAACCCACATATGAAAGCAGAGCATCCACTCTCCAAAGCTGTCCTCCAACCTCCACACATACATGGTCTCTCTCTCTCTCTCTCTCTCTCTCTCACACACACACACACACACACACACACACACACAAATGTTTTTAAAAATGTAGTTAGAAAAATACAAAAGTAAAAGCCGTAACTTTATATGGTGTTCACAAATACTATGAGAGAATATGTGACACACCCATAATCCAATGAAGCGCTGATAAGCACATACGCATGAAATCCTGTTCTCTTACTTCTGGAGACTTAAGCATTTTAAATGAAGATCCACCAGCCCCCTCCCACAGATAAACAGTCAGTATGGACGGTCCTACAGGCAGACCTCCTGCCATCCAGTTCCCACCTGCATGCTGGTGATATCGGCACTCTTGGCAGAGGCCCACACAGGCCGCTTACTCCACGGGAACTCCTTTCTCTTTACTCACTCACTCACCAACGCGGCCACCTCCTCTCGGCAGCAGCCTGAGTCATCCCCAAGTCCTTCCTCACATGAAGGCGCATCAGGGAACCTAGCTCCTGGCACTGCGTGGTTGCACTCAGTGAGCACACCCACCTGCCCCGCTCAGTTTCTTACTATCTCTGTTACGGGAACAGTCCTCACCCAGCCCCAGCCCCGGTACCAGCCCCATTCCAACTTCTTCCTTCCACACAGCCAGGGTGGCCTTTCCGAAATACACCCCCCCCCCCCAGGCCTGCCTATTCAAGAACGCGTTAAGAATCGCTGCTGACACCACAAAGCTCATATTCTGTAAGTAGGAACAGCAACGGTTCACTAGTCCAGTTTCTTGAATATGACACTATGATTACTGTCCCTATTAATTATTATTTATGTTTAATTATTATTGTATGTTTAATTATTATTGTATGTTTAATTATTATTTTAATTATTATTGTATGTTTGCTTGCTTTTTTTTCTGAGACAGGGTCTCCTGTGGCCCAGGTTGGCCTCAAACTTGTATCTATTGAAGGATGACCTTGAATTTCTGATTTTCCTACCACTGTCTCTTGAGTGCTGAGATTACTGGTGTAAACTACCAGGTCTGGTTGGTTTGTTTTTGTTTTTTGTTTTTTGTTTGTTTGTTTGATTTGGTTTTTGGTTTTTTTGAGACAGGGTTTCTCTGTGTAGCCCCAGATGTCCTGGAACTCCCTGCTCTGTAGACCAGGCTGGCCTTGAACTTACAGAGATACACCTGCCTCTGCCTCCCAAGTGCTGGGATTAAAGGCATGCATCACCACCACCTGGCACTACAGTTTGGTTTTATGTTATACTGGGGAGTAAAGTGAACCAAGTAATATCTCTATCAGCCCCTTATTATACAACCCACACCCCGCACTTGAAATGCTAGTGATGGAACCACAGAGCCTTGGGCACACTAGCAAGAGCTGCATCTCCACTTCTTTGTCCATGAGACACCTTCCTTTCCATATCCCACCATGGTCCCCTCTCGCTCCCAAACCTCCCGTGTATCTCGGTTGCTAGAAAACTTGATATATACTCTGTGCTTTCCTCAAAAGACTGCAAGCTCCTGGGGACTGAGATCACAGTGTATGCAGGGCACCAGGCCTGGCATATACAGGAGATTCTCACTTACTGAAATAAAAGCAATAACTTTAAGATGTTAATTGTCACTAAGGATGAATGTACCTTGCAGACAGAGAGCAGCTAGTTCCACAGCCGTTTCATAGGGGCACTTCAGTCTTGGGGAGAAAAAAAGAAAAGAAATTAACACTAAATACAAAGTTCTAAACTTGGAACCACCTAGCAAATGTCAGTAAGAGCATCCTTTAAAAGGCAGCAGTACCTCCATAAGGCTTCTGATGGTGGCAGTTTGTATTTTTGGTCTATGTTGAAGACAAACTAACATACACTAGAAATTTCCCAGGGCAGTTCTCAACATATCTACCCAAGCACACGTCCTATCAACCACGCAGACACTTCCACTGAATTTGGAAAAACTCACAATGTTTAGAAAACAGAATGAAACCCTTTGTCTTGTTATCTTAAATTCATTTTTTCTTGATACAGTCCATTTGTCTCTTCAAGCTGCCTTCAATCCTGTTTCAAACAAAGTCATGGCGGTAAAAATAAACACACCAACGCTGGCTAGACAGCTTCCAGGACCGCTAGATGTGCTCAGTATTCTAACAGGTCCAACTGAGGCAGAACTACAGAAGAGTGTCTCTGCAATCACAGTGGTTTTGCTCCTTCTTCAAATTGCAGAGTGGGTTAGGGAAGCAGTGATGACGGCATTGGTACAGCACTTCACAGTTCTCAACAGCTTCTCATCCACACAGTCTGCAGCTGGGTCAACGTGTAGTCTGAACACTCCCGGGATGGGTGAAGCCCCCGCCCATTCCTCTTTTTCCAGATGAGAAAGTGGGCCTTCAGCATCCCACCCGAGGCCTTCTGCCTGAAAGGAGGCAGTGCCGGGCTCCGAACACTGTTTTGCTTAGACGATTATCAAGTTGGGTGGGACTGGAAACTGCAAAGCACTAGGCACATACGAAGTTCTGCCATCAGTGGTTTTACACACTGAAGACAAGTTCCAGAGCTACGAGGCCTTTGGTGTAATGAACACAGAATGGACAGAGATAAAAATACACACATACTAAGCACACACACTAACCAAAAGCTGTATTGCACAGCTGAGTGAGGCCAATGTATACCCTGTACAGTCTACTCATTCCACTGCCTATCTGCCACTGAAATTTTAGAGTGCATTTTCCATTAAGAATTTGCAACCACAGAAATTGTATTTTAATTCAAAATTTTATTTCTTTATATAGTTGAGTTATATTTGGTTTTGTTGTTTGAGACAGGGTTTTACTATGTAACTTTGGCTGGCCTGGAACTCACTAGGTAGACCAAACTGGCCTCAAACTCACTGAGATACACCTGCCTCTGCTTCCCCAGCTCTGGAATTAGAAATGCGGGCCACCACAAGTAGCAGAAATTACCCATTAAGCTTCTTTTAGGTTACATTCAAAACCAGAACATACTCCTGCTGGTAGCATCTGTTACTGCTTCTTAGTCTTAATGGAATCTCAGGTTTTTGTTTCTTTTTAATGTAACAGAAAATATTCAATAACTCTTACTGGAAAATAATAAAAAGCTAATTTTTAAAAACCTTCTTTACATTTATTTCTTCATATAGACTATGTGTGTATGTGCGTGGGGGTGGGAGTGGGTGTGTACATGCCACGGCACACGTACGGAGGTCAGAGGACAATTTTCAGGTCCTGGGGATCGAACTCAGGTTGTCAGGCTTGGCCGTGAGAGGCTTTACCTGCTAAGCCATTTTGTCTGCCTTCTTTGTCTATTAATCCTCCCTCAAAATCAACCACTTCAGTGGTAACGTATTTTGTGTTTAACAATCACTATGCGCCTAATGTCTTTAGAGAACATTTTTAACATGAGAAAGGAAAAGAGATGAGACTTCTACAGCTCTTTCTCAAGGGATCAGATAAGGACCTCTTTATATCACCATAGTGTGATGGTAATGTGTGAGGCTTCTTAAATTGAGCAAATACTTGTACATGTATACATGCTAACAATGTGTGTTGCTTGCAGATACAACAGAAGCCGGTATGAATGGCGCAGTGATGTGACAGGGAGAAAGCAGTTCCTAAATACAAAATACTCAGTGCTCCAAGAAATGTCCCAAGCCATATAGAAATCATTTTAAAACAGGACAAAATGACAGCGGTGCAAGTGTCTGACTCACTTGATAAGACCTGGAGTACTATTTTGAACTTGGTAACGGGGGCACGGGTAAAAGAGTTAAACAGTGAATTACTCAGGTATACTATGCTCTATGCTGGGTGAAGAGTTAGAAAAAAAGCATACTTACTTTCCAGAAAGAATGTCATGCCTGAGTTGTAAAACAAACAGGTACCTGACAAACACATACAAAAGTCAACAGAGGGGAACCTTTCCTTTCCCAGCCACCTACAACCCCCAGCCTCCCACCACCAATCAAATCTCCCCTGCACATGCCCTGGCATTCTGCTCTGTCAAAAGGGAGCCCAACTCAAATGAGGAAGAAGGGAGCCTCTGTCTAAGCCAGTGGAAAGGCCTCCCAGGTCTCAATGGGTGGGGAAACGCATGTGGGGAGTTGCAAGATACTTGTAGATGGAGCAGGACAGAATACCAAGGGGTCTGATGTGACTTGCAGGATGGCGTTGGTGCAGGAGAGACTAGCCCAACAGGCAGGCAGAATGCTGCACGGGCATGTGATATAGCCCAGAAAATGGGCTGGGCAGAACTACCGAGCTGGCACCTGACCAGCTACAACTTCTCTCAAAAAGTCTGCAACTGACTAACATCTACCAGAAACCACTTGAGGCTTTTCTTCCTGGTGCAGTCTAACTGCCACCTGTCTTCAAAACAAATACACACGCACACCATACAACACACACACACACACACACACACACACACACACACGAAAAATCCTAAAATTACACTAAATTACAGAGATAATAAGAAACAAGGAGAAAAGTAGCAAAAAACATCAGCGGGGTTTACCAAGTTAAAAAATAAATGTCTGAGTCTTAAGTAAAAGTCTTTTATTTCCAGGCAGATGTGGGTACCAGAACCACTCTGTACCAACCACAGCCTCCCACACTCTACTCTAGGCCTATGGAGTCTCACTCCTACACTTAAGAGTGGTCTCCAGGAATCCTGTTTGTTTCTGAGTCACACATCTGCCTTAAAAATGACCAGCTCCCAACTAACCAGGACCCAGAAGGGCTTGCAGAGACTGGAGCACCAACCAAGGACCATGCATGGACTCGATCTAGCTCTCTACACAGAGGTAGCCCAAGGGCAACTCGGGCTTCATGTGGGTCCCCTAGTAAGAAGAGCAGGTGCTGTCTCCCACATGGACTCTGTTGCCTGGTATTTGATCACTTCCCCCTGGTGGGGCTGCCTCACCAGGCCATAGAAAGAGTATGTGCTCAGTCCTGATGTGACTTGATGTGCTGGAGTGGCTTGGTGGGGAGGGGTTCCCCTTAAGAGTAGGGGGAGAGGAGGGAGGGCAAATGGGAGAAAAGGGGGCTGTGATCGAGATATAAAGTGAATAAATAAATTATTTAATTTAAAAAAATGACCAGCTCTAGTGACAGCTAGGAACAACATGCCTCATAACGACCTCCAAAGAGAAATACTGAGTTCAACCTTGGAAGCCATATGGGCAGTCCTTTTCTGTAGAATGGCAATAGGAGACTCTGGATGACCCCGAAATCAAAGTGGTCAGGGAAGCTGAAGGTTCTACCTCATGCCAGAAGGTTCTGCTTCCTAGCAGGTCCTTAACTATGACTAAGCTTACACTTTTGAAATTTAGGACATTGATGTGTATATTTGCACCAACAAGAGCACAGAGTCCATGTGGCCAAAAGTCCTGACTCATGTAGGGAAACCCAACAGAAGAAACCCCGAAGGCCCTTGTCATGGGCACTAACTTTCAAATGTCATTTAGGTGTTCCTCTCCAAGTTGCAGCCCACCAATGTAGACCGTCCATCAATGTACAAGTACAGGATCACACACACACAGTGACAAGGACACTCTTGGGGTATTTAGAATTAGATAAAGCATTTCACGGATGGAAGGAAGGGATGCTCCAACCGCTGTTTACAATCTCCCTTTCTTCTATATCGATCCTGAGATTCAGGAGATAAGCACAGGTGCTCATAACTTAAAAAAAACCCAGTGGGACTAAGAGCTACAAGAGGGTAGTAATGAAATCTTTGGTTAACAGACCTGCTTATGTGAAGTGAGGGGTTCCTTCAATTGGAAAAAAAATCACAGTGTTTCGAAATACCCTCAAAAAAGGAGAAAGGGGAGGAGGCAATTCCTGACTAAGAAACCTCCCAATATCTGGTTTTGGTTTTGCAATGGAGACAAAGACAAAATGCCATAGATGAGCCCACCACTTCCCCAAAGTCCAAGAAAATCCATCTAATTTGACTGATATAAGAAATGCCAAATTAAGCATATTGAGAGGTTTTCACCAGGGTACAGGAGCTTGGGAAGAGGGCTAGTAACTTGCTTGGAAATGCAGAGGACTATAAAGGAACAGAGCCCCTGACTGAGATGCTCCCCCTCCCCCACACTGGCCCAGGTGGGGCCTACTGGACAGAACCCTCCGTGCTGTGTCCTACCTTGTAAATTCCTCTCGAAGGTTGTTTGGTTCTGAAGAATAGTATTTGACTCGAAAGTGCAAAGCATAGGCAGGTCCAACTAAACATTTGGAGACAGAAAGGTAAAGATGTTTGTCCCCCGTCAGACAGAAGGAAACCTATCACAATGACAGCAAGCCCACCGCTCCATCTGGAGTTCAAAAAAATGGAACCAAACTTTCAGGTTGACTGAGATGGTTTAGCTAGGAACTTCATTCTGTCAGAAACCCTTGACTGGGTGAGTTACAAAGAGCTGGCGTTACTCCAAACTGGCACCCATGTTTTACAAAGGACAAAGTGGGCTGGAGGCAAGTGACGCACGCCCAAGCTGCAAAGCGTTCTGCCACGTAAAAACATGGTCAGGTATTTTTAAGAGGATATAATTTCCAAATGATCTAAGTATATAAACAGCATTAGAGAAACATGGTTGCCACACCTGTAGGAGTGAGCTGGAGCCTTCCTGCCTCCTACTCACCATTCTGAATCTGCTTTCAAACTTACTTGGCAGTGAGTAGAGGAGGCGACAGGCTTCTGAATAGTACATTAGTCAGTTCTCATTGGCAGGGCTGCCTCACTTGAAATGAGAGCACAGGTGGGTTTTAATATCTACTCATTCACTTTTAAAGCTCTACTCTTTGGCCAGTTTAAAGGAAGTAAAAATCATCCACTTAACATTGGATCTATTTACAAATTAAAAAAAAAAATCTCAAAAATCTTGACAAAGCAGTTTACTGACAGGATTTTTAAAAAGAAAAGAAGACATGAGTAGACTGCAGTCTATGTCTTACCTTTCATCTGTTTCTTTATGGGTTTTGAATGATCCAGCCAGTGCTGAAAGAAGAAAATGTTTAATTAGGAACCAAATATGTGCCCCTAGAGGACTCCTCCTCTACAAATCCGGAGGATTCCATTCACAGAGACCTGAGACTGAGTCAGTCCTTGAATTCCTCAGTGGGATCTGCAAATATGCTAGCTATGGTATTGGAAATTCTTTTCTCAGGCTGTGGAGGTGCTCAAGCCATTCTTGTCGAGAACCTAGGTTCTGTTCTCAGTACCAACATGGAGGCTCTACTGCACCTGCTTCTAGGGGTGATCGGATTCCCCCTTGTGGCCTTTTCTGGTACCAGGCACATACTGCATGTGGTGCACATACATACATGCAGGCGAATGCTTATACATATGCAACTAAAATAAAGACATTTCTCTCTCTCTCTCTCTCTCTGTTTTAAGTCTATACTCAGGTAGGTCAGTGTTTGCTGCTTTGGGGCTGGAGAGATGGCTCAGCAGGTAAGAGCACTAGCTGTTCTTCCTGAGAGCCCAGGTTTGGTTCCCAGCACTCTCATGGTGGCTCATAACCATCTGTAACTCCAATTCCAGGGAGTCCAACACTCTCTTCTGGCCTCTGAGGGCCCTGTACTCACATGGTGTATAACATACATATTCAGGCAAAACACCTACACATGTAAAATAAAAATAAGTAAGACATTTTAAAGCACATGCTCTAGGGATCGGAATTTGGATCCCCACAACCTACATAAAATCCAGGTTGGTGTAGTGGCTACCTGTAATTCAAGGTTAGGAAGGCAGAGAGAATTCCCAGTGAGCTGGCTGAAGAGATTAGCAGTATCAGTGAGCTCTAGGTCTGACTGAGAGACCCTGTCTCAATGAATGAAGTGCCAAAGTACTATCAACCCTCCACATGTATGCAAGCATACAAACACACACACATACCACACATGTAAACAGAAAAAGAAAAATGAACAAATAATTTGCCTGTGCATGTAAGTATGTTGTCTTACAGCTGAAGTTTCTCTAATATTTTTTAAGAAGTCAGGAAGCCTTTAAAACCCCTAAAAAATTGATGTGTAAAGTCTCTTCTAAAAATTCTGAGTTCCTGACGTTACAGTCGATCTTTCCCAGTAATTCCAGGTCTTAACTAACCCAGCAAAAGTACAACTCCCATGCTAAACTCTGATTACACACCAGCCTGTGGTCCTGACACCTTCAACTCTGAAATCAGGAAGTCAAAACCTGGCCCACTTCATTCTTCTACATTCCTGGACCCCCACCACTGATAGAAAGAGACAGATGGTTCAGCTGTGGCGAGTGAGGGCATTTCAACTGTTCCTCATATTTACCAAAAACAAACAAACAAACAAACAAACAAAAAAAAAAAAACCTTTAGTTTTATCTGCCTAAGGAGGTTACAAAGCCATTCCCCATATAAACATTGTGAATTAAAGATGCATTTAATCCCTCTGGCTTGTGTGTCTTGCTTGGCTACATAGGAAAACACAGAGTGTTATTTATTTATGTGATTGTATGGTTTTGCCTTGGATCTCAAGACAGAAGAATCAACAACGCAGGAGAGGTAAAAAATCATAATATGAAGTCTGGTCTCTACTGAATGCTAATCACTTTTGTGCCACCATAAAGTTGGGCTATCATGAGTCAGGGGCTGTCTACACTGCGAGTCTCTTAGATCAAACCCTGATGGCGGGGGACCGTGTGGCTGATGGCTTCTATGCTTTCAATGAGAAGTTCCAGGTGTGGTACCCAGCCTGTTCTGACTGGATTGAGAAATATTAAGTCTGGCTTCCGGAAACGTTTATTTTCTATGTATGGGTGTTCTGCTTGCATGTCAGTCTGTGCACCATGTGTGTGCTGGGTGCCCAAGGAGGCGTGGAGAGGCCTTTGGATGGCCAGGGACTGAGGGTGCACGTGGTTGTGAGTGTGTGGTGCTCGGGACTGAAGTCCTCGGGAAAGGAAGCTAGTGTTCCTAACTGCTGAGCCATCTATCTCCCCAGGCCTGAAATGTGAACTGTTTTGTAAAGAGGGTAGTTAGACATGTTCACCATCTCTGTAACTAACTCGGTGCACACTGGAACTTGTTACAAAAGGAACCAGAATGAAACAGGTGAAAGCAGTCCCGCTATTCTGAACCAGAGGCTAATTCCGCTGGCCACTGGGGATTTGCAGAAGCAATCTACATTGTGCACATGTTCCCAATGAGAGAGGGTGGGGCTGAATGAGCACAGTGTACTCCACAAAGCCTGGGAGGACTGTGTAGGAGGCAGGGGGATGTGGAAACACAAAAAAAAGCACCTAACAGATGAATTAGAATACAGTAAGTGTGCATGCTAAGGAGAAGAGGATGTGGCTCTCTCTCTGTTATCTCCACACGGCCCAGGCCATGTAACAAAAGCAGATCACTGCAGCAGGGGACCTATCTCAAAGGCACACGGCTGGGACGCTACATCTCATTGTTGATAGCTCTGAATTAGCAGTGACCTAAATGCCCATCAACAAAGACGGATTCAAAAATGGCTCATCTGTATAATGCAATACTATTGTAAAAGGATGTAGGCTGATATTTACTGATGTGACAATGGGTGCACAGCACAATGTTGAGATGGAAAAAGAAACAGGTAGGATCCTGTTTCTAGAAAATTATTATTTTCAATCAAGATATGTCCAGAAAGATTTATAGGGTTTTTGTTTGTTTGTTTTTGGTGATGGGGTGGTCAGGGATAGTGTGAATGCCGTTTCCTTTTACTTTTCTGAACAGCCTTTTATTTTAATGTGATTATTATTTAGTGTGGGAGGGCTGTCCCTTTTAGATGTATTCATTGGTTACTTACTAGGCATGTTTACTTTGTTTTCTGAGATAAGATTTCATGTATCCCAGGCTAGCCTCAAACTCTCTATGTAGCTTAGGATGACCATGAACTTCTGATCCTCTTACTTCCATCTTCTGAGTGCTAGGAATGCATGTGTGTACTACCATGTCCAGACTCTGTGACTGGGGTACATCCAACCAGAGCTTCCTGCATGCCAGGTAAGCATGCTAACACTCATGCTCCATCTTCAGCTCCGAGCTAGGGAATTTGGGTAAGGAATTTGCAGAACAGGAATTAGACTTCACCATTGCCCTTAGCCATGCTGACAGCTCCCAATCTCACTCTGGGAAGGACAGACACAGAGAGGAAGGGAGCACACTTAGGCTCCTGCCAAGTGCCATACTAATGTCTATAACCAAACCAGTATTTAAATGAACCCACCATTCCAGGCACAGAAAGTTCTCCTGCAGCTTAAAGGAACCCATCCATTTCTTTCCTCTCTCACGTCTCCTTAACATTATTCTGAGTAAATCACATTCAAACCCACCTTCCCTCTCCCTCTACTATTAAACTCTCATCTCCATCCAAGTCTAACGTGTGGTTTCCCTGGCCCGAGCTTCAACTCTGACTGTATGTTACAATGCTGGAAGAACTAAATGAAAGAAGCCGATACCCAGGGGTCACACAAGACCCATCAGCTACTTCCAAAAGCATCAGTTTCACAGATGCGCCTAGTATGCCATTCAGTATTTACTACTTAGTCTTCATATCCTCATCTACAGGAAGATGCCCTGTGCATCTTAAAATGTCCACAGCTCTATGTTGCGTTCTATAACACCTCATGCAATTCCAGTGTTTATGGGCCAGTCCGAGAGGTGAGATGGCCAGATGTCCACTGCTGGGGCTAACATAAGGACAGATGGTTGCCAGATGTTCTGGGCAGCAGCCAACTCCACCCTGGGGCCAGAATGCTAATAGTGCTCCCTTTACCTATCTTCATGGGAGCTTTATCATTTGCATTTAAAGCAGGGCTTGCCAAGACAGAGGGCATGAATATCCGGAGCTGAGAAAGGAGTCAAAAGTGACATGAATATTCTGAAGCTCCTTGACCCATGGGAGTTTTCAGAACAAGGATTAGTGGCTCCGTCAGAGACAACATGAAACCTATTTATGATCCTGAGACAGAGATGGTAAAGCTTACCGGCTTATGTCCATCCAGCTCAAGATAACCTGGCTTTCTCACAGCTGCAAAGGCCTGGCACATGCTGATCACTGGTACTGCATCCCACAGGAAGCCCCCTCCCTGGGACTTGAATACCACCGCAACAAAAGACCTGGCATTTAGAAAACCCTATGCTGTGTACAGCTTTGAGAGCTGTATCCAGCAGCAGCAAGACCTGCCTGGCACAGTCACCGGTATCTTAGCTAAATAAAGCAGATCACACATCAACGAAGGCCTAGGCAGACTGCCTCTAAGGTCCTCCACAGACCATTAAACCAGTCACCGCAGGCAGACTGAAACGTTTTTTAGTTCGAATGGCAAGACATTGAACTCAACTCTCCAGTGGGTGTTAGCAAGGTGATTTCTTGTCTGAATCTATCATCCTAAGTCCATGTGGCAAAGCCCTATCCATAAATCAAGATGTGGGATGTGATCCTGGCAGAGCCCATCTGTTTTACTGGAGCATCAGTTCTGGAAATGCGACCGGCAGAGGGTGGCTGTAGAATTGAATGATCTGAGCCGTCGTGGGAGGCACTGAAGCTCAGAGGTTAAAGCCTGGTCTAAAATCTCTGTTCATGGAGCCCTTGCCGTGAAGGCTAAGCAACAGGGCTCATGTTCTAGTACCTAGAGATTTCTCTGGCTTATATGAAGTATTTTGTTTGCCCTGGTATTAAAGGAGGAAAGGATCTGAAGAGGCAATCATATCCACAGGATGAAGGAGGGAAAGGACACTTGGGATTCACTGTCCTACCCACTGTCTGATTCAGAATTGGGGATAAAGGAATTGAAAGGCTGTGATGGGATTCAAACTTACTGTTGTTAGTGTCAGTGACCACATGTGTACCCGCCCCTCACTGCTGATATTCAGGGTTAGGCAACCTGGGAGCCTGCTGTACTTCCTCAGTTCATATGACACTTCTCTGTTCTATCACCAATGGAGACAGAAGAGCAGCACTCCTTTCCTGCTTTGCAACCTTCTCGAATGTAGG